AGCTTTGATTGTTATTACATATACATTATTTTGAAAATGTGAATAACTTGTAATTTACTTAAGATTTTTGGCTAAAGTTTGATTTTTAACCTACTGATGATTTTTTTCCCAAAGAAATGCTATTGTGACTATATTGGCACAAATGCCCATATTATTTTTAGTCTTTTAAAAAATAAATTACCATAGAGTTTGAGTTCTAGAACTGAAAATTAATTGAAATTTGCTTACATTTCAATAGAGTACTATAAATTTAATTTTACTTGTAAGCACATATAATACAAAATAGATGCTTAATAGATATTTAGTAAATGAATTTATTTTTGTGCAATTAAAAAAATTAGCTACTTCCAATATTAGGAGCCAAAACACACATCCACATCTCCACCACATACACAACCTGTTAATTCAATGCCGTGTACTATAATATAAGTCATACTGATCCTAAACTTAAAATAATTTTGTCCTAGATTATAGTATTATCTATGACATTGCTAAACCCACATATTCTCTGAAAATCAACCTTATTATGTTTACAATGAAATCTAATATGTTGGATGTAAAGATCAAATTCATAGGACTACGTGAAACAACCAATTCTTTAAAGTTAAGCAATATTATTCTTTTCAGAATGTTGCAATTTGCTTACAAATCCAAATATGAAAGCATAATATATTTTATAAATACACTAATTAATTATAACAGAAGGCCTTTGAAAACATATATTATAAATATATATATACACATGGCTGGGCTCAGTGGCTCAGCCTGTAATCCCAGCACTTTGGGAGACCGAGGCGAGTGGATTGTCTTAGCCCACGGGTTTGAGACCCATCCAGGCAACTTGGCAAGACCTCATCTCTACAATAAATCAAAAATTAGCCAGGCGTGGTAGCGCACACCTGTAGTTCTGGCTACTTGGAAGGCTGAGGCGGAAGGATCACCAGAGCCCAGCAAGTGGAGGCTGCGGTTTCCAAGAGCATGCCACAGCACTCCAGTCTAGGTGACACAGTGGGAATCCAACTCAAAAAAAAAAAAAAAAAAAAAAGGAAGTATATATACACATAATCTGGATCTCTTACATAACACAGTTAATAATTTTCTTCTCACAAATGTGTGAAAAATCCTTGTTTTATGATATAAAATGCATGAGGTATTTGCTACAATACTTTGTGTAGATTATTTAATGGCAGGATCTGTATTCTGTGCAAGTATTAAAGATAAACACAAGAAAATTTATCACAAACTCTTTAGAGTGATTATAAGACAATTGATGTCCATTGGTATTATGATTATCTTAGCATGTTTTGTATTGTCCAAATAATTCTGATCCATTAAAGTTTAGGGCAACTAAACTGAAGGGAAACTGCTAAGAAGGACTCTTAAATTTTTGAGGCCAAGTTTTAACTTGCAGGCTATGATTAGATAGACTGTGTACCCTGAAGCTAAAACGTCTCAGGGAACAGATGCTACAAAGAGAATAGAAAGATTGCTTTTGTTTGCTTAAGGTTTAAATAGCCTTTAGGGGCAACTGAGTCAAAATATTAAGGTACTAGTTAATAATTAGACATAAGTATATTAAACATTTTAGAATGAGGATTGAATCCAAGCCATCATGAAGGTTTCTTTTTTGGCCCAGAATTATGCTAGTGCGGACTTTGGAATCTAGTCGAGTCCTAGGAAGTACAACTCAAAATTGCAAATCAGAGAGTGGGGAATGAAGGAATGGAAAACTTGAGGCAATTGGCAGAGATTTTGGCAAACAGTAAATCCTGCTGATGTAACAAAGATGCAAACATAAAAATTAGAATTTGAAAGTATGGCTCAGAGGTTGAATTGAGATTGTGGAGGTGAAAATACAAGTGGGCCCAGGGTAAGAGACCCTGTGGGTTCAGACTGAGGCTTATTCACTGGAGCATTCGGGCAAGATAATTCTTAGGGTAAGACAAGGGCTATGCCTCCAGGTGGGTAAAATAATTCTCCATTGAATGGAGGGCTGCAAATCTAGGAATTAAGTAGGACAATCAAAGAATTGCGCAGTTGTTTGAACTCAAATAAAAGTAGCTCTTGTGAACAGAAGTATTATAGAAGAAAGAAGAAATCACCACCTCATTGGTGTCAGCATCAGTTCATTCTTGACACAATTACTTTACACACAAATGGCAATTTTAAGTCACTCCTCTTAAATCATTTTTAGATACTAATTCCAGAAACATGAAATACTGAACTACTTAAATTTATTAATTTACCCTTGGTTTCAGATTGTGTTTCTTACTGACAAATTAGCAAACCATGAAGACCTAAAAGTTAATATTGTGTGAAAGGAAAGATCAAAGATGAGGGAAAAGACTGAGGAGAATTGGGAATAGCCCTATGGGCATGCCCGGGGAATACACTCTCATATATCAAATTGTTAGACCATGACCTTCTCAGAAAACACTTACATGAAGAACAGTCCCTTCTTTAATCAAAGAATTGATAAGAATGAACTCTACAAGTAATATATCTTCTATCTTTTTCACTTCAGTGAATCTACTAATTGTTAATTTAAAAAGTTGCTAAGGTATAACTTACATATAATAAAGCATACAAATATTAAGGGTACAGTTTAATTAATTTGTAATTATATGCATACCAGTGCAACCACTACCAAAATCAGTATATAGACTGCATTTCCAATACCCAAGAAGATCCCTTGTGCATCTTTTCTGTCTGAAGTCCCCAAATGAAATATCTTCCCTGATTTTCATAACTACAGGTTAGATTTGCATAAGTAAAATATGTATTTTAGCATCTAATCTCTTTCAGTTAATATGTCTATGAGTTTTATCCATGTTGTATGTGAATAAGTTTGTGTTTATTAAAAGCTGTGTACTAGTCCACTGTATACACATGGCATAATTTATTTACACATTCTGTTGTTCATAGCATTTTAGTTATTTTGTTTGGAACTATTATGAATAAAACTTCTGTGAACATTCTCTCTATATACCTTTAACAGACAGTGTTATTCACTTTTTAAAATATTATCTTAAGGTGGAATTACTGGGTCATATGGTATTCATGTGTTTTCTTTTAATAAAAATTGTCAAATATTTTTCCAAAAGGGTTTTATGAAATCAGGCTTCCACCAGCTTCCTCACCCATTACTGTCATCATGTTTGGGTAATACTATTTCATTGCAGTTTTAAATTTATATTTGCTTTATGACTAATAACATTAGGTGCATTTTCATATGTTTATCAGCCACTTTGATGCCATCTTTTATGTAGTCTCTGCTCAATCTTTTGTCCATTGTTGTAATTAGGTTGACTGTCTTTTTCTTATTGGTTTGTATGAATTCTCTATGTTCTGGATGAGCCATTTGTCAAATGTATTACAACAACCATCTCTTAGTCTGTAGTTTGTTCTTTGAACTACTCTGTTAATTGTATCTTTTGTTGAACAAAAGTTCTCAATTAAAATAAGTCTGGTTAATGCGTGTGTGTGTGTGTGTGTGTGTGTGTGTGTGTGTGTGTGTGTGTGTGTGTGTTCTATATGAGAAATTTGGTTATTGATGGATCATAAAGGTGTTTCCTTCTAGAACATAGATTCAATATTGATAAAATGTTGAAGAAGAACAAAGTTGGAGAATTTTCACTACCAAATATCACAACTTATTAGAATGCTGAAGCAATTAAACAGAATACTAGTGACACAAGTATATATAAATGGACCACGGGAATATTCTGTAATATCGTAACAGATTCACATACACAGCTGCCTAACTTATGACAAAGTCTTGAATGCAATTGAATGGGAAAAGGATGCTTATTTTTATAAAATGCATGAGGTCAATGAAATATCTAACAGAGGAAAAATACGGATTTTGATCTCAACTTCTCACTATAAGCAAAAATTATCTTTATGTGAGCCACAGATTTTGATACAAGTACTACCTTATTTATCACAGATCTAAATGTGAAAACTATTTTATATTTGTATCACAGATTCCAACTGTTTGATGACGATCTGATAAAAGGGGAAGTCACATTTCTTCCAAACACTTCTCTTGTCTAATTATTTTCTCTCATTAGAGTCAATTTGATCCATTGCATTTTATGTAAAAGGTCCCTGTGAAAATGAGAGGAAGGCTACTGGTGGTAGCTTTGGTTTATATTACTAAAAGCAATATTTTCCGAAAGCAGAGACCAGGAGAATTGTTCACAGAATAAGGGGAATTAATTGGATGGAGAAAAAAATTGGGGTGAGCGTAAGGGAGAAGACAAGGCCCAAAAGAAAGTTGTTGAGGAAAGTTGTGGAGGGATCAGGTGGGGCACAACACTGTGTGATTTATGGAGTCTGGAACCTAGCATGAAGACATGAAACAAGATTGAAGACTGACAAGTGGAAAACTTGCAAAAAGGAATTTGGATAGCTTAAAAAGCCCCCTACACTCACCCCATTGAGTTCTCAATTTATCCTTCAAGCTGCCCTGGCTCTTATAGAGGCTGACTTACAATCCTTGTAAAGCAAAATATTTTATCCCCATTATCCAAGAAATGTCTAGCAATGCCCCCAAAATAAAATTTAAAATTGGACTGCCTTCAGTTATAAAAGAAACAGAGGGCCACTACCTCTTTGAAAATGGACCCTTCTACTGACTGGTTGTTTTTGGCAGCATTTTTAATAGTCATGAAATAAAAGATGCTTACTTTGGCACTTTCAGATCTATATAAACATGGTAATTGGCCCAACATGAAAAATGATTCTTTCAAGTTCTGCCCAAAGAAGTTTATGAGAAAGAACTCAACAAATATTACTTTGCATTTGTATAGTATATCTTAGTTTATAAATCCCTTTATTAAAAGTGAGAAAAATGGTATTTACTTTTAGATTAAAATAGTATTAGAACAAAGTTTTGTATGCAGGTTCTTACTTAACATTATAACAATGCTATTAGCTAGTCACTTATTAATATCATTTTCAAGTAGGGAAACTGACAAAGACACTGTATTACTTACCCAAATCCACTCAGCTTGTAAATTTGTGTCCTGATGAGAACCAGGTCTTTATAGTGTATATAGTGTCCTCTTGCCTTTAAATGACCCTCCGTAGGGGAGATTTGCTCAATGAGGCAGTCAGTACAAAAAAATTGCTTACAACAAATCAAGAAATTTACAGCAAGCATTGGGCATGAATACATGATAATCAGAACAAATCTAGTCTTGTGAAGATTACAAATCATGATTATGGGTACATCTCTAGTTTATAACCCAGGTAATGTTATCAATGAACCTCACCAATCTTAAACTTGGGAACAAGCTGCAAAGATTAACTGCATGATTCAGCAGAGTCACAACCAGACAACAAGAACACTGAAAGGGAAAGTGACTTTAGAGAAAAAAACAGCAAACTATCAGCTTTATTAAATTCATTTGTTCATTCAATAAATACTTATTAAGGTGTTAATATGATTCATGCCCTCTTCTAGATGCTGAGAATACACAGAATAGCCAAACATGTAAATTGCACAATCTCATGGATTTTGCAATCGAGCACCTGTCATGTAGTACATGCAGGGCATGTATGGCAATTGTGCTATCAAGTATCACACACTCGGAGAGGTTCTGGGAATGACAAGATAAATAGTCCCTTTTCCTAAGGAACTGTCTGTTTAACAGAAAAATAATCTGCAATATGGGAACATTTTAATACAGATTTGTCCAGAAGTGATGTGGAAGTAACTACTTTGAGGAGTCTGGAAATACTAAACACTATTATACTAAATATTAAAATAAATACTAAATATTCTAGATGCCTTTTAACTTAGATGATAAATAAATATAACATTTAAAACAAAGAAGAACATATCACATAGAAATCATATATGAGAGTAGAAATATTACTCTGAAATTAGATATATCAGATGTTTTTGGTTTAACTTATTATTTTGAAAACTTGAGAAATGTTTGTACATGTGAGTACATGGCCACATACTGAAGTATCTGTTTACATGACTTGCTGGTATCTTTTTTTTACAAATTGTGCACTAAGACCTTGTTCCTTGGAAGGAAGAAGACATTATTTAATAAAAATATTTTCCTCAGATCTTTCCTGAGAACAAGGTCAATTGAATTATCTAAAAGAAACAATAAAAATAAGGTAAGACCTGTGTAGTATGAGTTTTTGTGTGTGTTAGTTTTGGAATGGTGGTTAGAAAATAAAAATTAATGGTAAGATTGGAAACTCTTATGACAGTAGTTTTTTGACCTTGCTGAAGAGTTTATAATGAATTACCAGAAAACAGCCTGCAAGAAAGGAGAACTAAATAGCACTCAAAATTGCTCATTTATAACCACAGAATGTTTTCTTTAAAAGCAGACTGAAAACATACCAAACTATATCTGTAAATTCTATAACATTTTCAGGCAGGAAATTTTACATGATCTTGGAAGTAAAACTCACAAATTATTGAGGAAATACCATCCCCCTCACATTGTAAAAAGAAAGATGGAAAGAATTATTTACTTAACAAAACCAGCATGGTTTATATATTGAAAATGTATGATTGTCATTTATTTCTTGCTACACTGCTGCTTATAAAGAAGAGTGTTGATTCAACACCAAGTCAAATGTTTATGGAAACTTAATTGCTTTGGTTTTATCTGTTGGTTCTGTCAATTTCTGGCACTGCTCTACCCAACACAATGCTGTCTGTATTTATATCACTGATGTCTTCATATAGAGTTGCTATCCAGATTCAAATATGGTTTTAAAAGAATTTGGAAAGTGTTGGAAAGCAAAGAATAACTTGATTTGCATGTGAGCCCCAAACAGGGATACCAGTTGGCTGCTTCTGTTCATATCTCTGTCTCTTATTTTCATAGATTATTCTCTTTCTGCTTAAGCTTTAAGCATAGTAGGAAATGATCTACAATGACTTTTTCCCCCCTAAAACAAAGCAAAAAAAAAAAAAAAATCAAGGCACTATCAAAAATCTGAACATGTACAATGGGGAACACATTTCAAATGTTTTGTTCTCAGGTAGAAAAATATAGCTTAACATGATGACATAGATAGAAAAAATTTAAATAAGATTCTAGAAAATCCAATCCAAACTCTTATACATTTTTACATTCAGTTTTTTCTATTTCCAACTTGAGAAAAGTTAGCAATTCTTCTCTAGTTATTAGGAGGACGTCAGTATAAACCTGGGATTATAAAAACAGTGTGTCCTTTATTTCAGGAATAAAAGTGTTTAAACATTATGCCAAAAACTTAAATGGTAAAGGAAGGTATTATGGTATAAATGTTGGTGTTCCCCCAAAGTTCATATGTTGGAACCTAAAACCCAACGACATAGTTTTAAGAAGTGGAGGTCTTTTTGGAAGTAACTGAGGCAAGACAGCTCCACCTTCATAAATGTGCTCTTATAAAAAGAAAGAGGTTGAAGGGAGTGCCTGTGTTCTATCCACCATGTGAGAATGTAGCTTGGAAGCTTCATCTATGAGAAGCAGGATTACCATCAAATTTTAAATGTGCCAGCACCTTGATCTCACAGTCTCTAGAACTATGAGAAATAAATTTTTGTTGTTTATAAATGACTCAGTCTCAGGTATTTTTATTACTGCATCCCAAACAGCTTAAGACAGAGGACAGATAAATAAAATGCACCCATGTAAAAAATATTGTAGCCAATGTCAAGTAAAACAAACATATATATCTTTTTCAAAAATGATTATAGCAATGTTTGATTACGTCATTTGTATAGACTGGAGTTAGGACTTCTTATCAAAAAAAATCTCTGGCTAAAACATGTGCCAATCTCCATTCTTTTTTGATGATCCCAAACTATTTACAAATGAATATTTTGCTAACATAGGACAAGGGCTGAAATAGGACAGAAACAATAACATTACCAGTTGAAGGACGTTGCAAGGCTTACCAGATGCATGGCAAGTCAGTAAGGTTATATTAGTATCCACGAGGAAAATAATTTAATTCTGCTAAAGACCAAAAGTTTGAGAGAGGAATAGTGAAAAACAGTAGCTGAACTATAGATTGAACAGTTGTCTGGAGTAGGTATAGGTGCTGAAAACCTATGCAGTAGAGTGGTTAGGAGAGTAGACTTACAGAGTCAGAAATCCTAGGTCCAAATCTTGTGGTTTCTGGTTACCAAGATGATTGCCACTTAATGTCTCTATCTTTTAGTTTCCTCATCTGTAGAGTAAGTAATAATAATATTGACTATCAGCATCACTTTAATGATTAGATGATGTTAAAATATCTGAAGCATATAAGATAGTTTTGAGACTAAGCATTGGTCATTTTCATCATCATTACTTCTATAAATCTAACATCTGTTAGAGGAAGATATAATCTAATAGAAGAAATATATCAAAAAGAGTATAGGCTGCATATAAAGAAGAACAAAACCATGGCCTTTGCAGCAACTTGGATGAAGTTGAAGACCATCCTACTAAGTGAACTATCACAGAAACAAGGAACTGAATACCACATGTTCTCACTCTTAAGTGGGCCCTGATCAATAGTCACATTAGCACAAGGGTGGGATAGGCACTGCTAGGAGAGGGAGGGAGGGAGGTAGATGACAACACAAAAGACCCCTGGTTCACTACCATGGGGAATGAGGGCCACCTAGAAGTCCAAACTTCACCGGCAGGCAGCAAACTTATATAGTAAGTCCTCATTTGTACTCCACAACTTTATAATAAATACATTTAAACAAAATAAAAAGGAGCACAGGAAAGTTTAGTTTGAAATGATGATCAAATATCATAAATCAAGGAATATGCATTAATTAGGAAAAAAGCATGTATTCATGTAGAAAAAAGTGTGTGTGGGCTTTTCTTCCAATATAATGCAATCATTTTTTCTTTTTCTTTTTTATTTTAAAAAGGAAGAGACAATTCAGGGTTAGGTATACAAATGTTCATTATGCAGGTACCCTTGTTAATGAGGTGTGCTCTTCCCTCCCTTCGCAGTTTCCCTCAACTGCCAATCCCACCCTCTCCCCTGGCAGTTTCCCACTATTGCCAATCCCTTTCTTATAGTATTATGATAATTGTTCAAGGTCCGCTTATGAGTGAGAACATATGGTACTCTGTTCTTTGTTTCTGTGATACATCACTGAGTATGATAGATTCTAATTCCATCCAAGTTGCTGCAAAGTTCTTATGTTTGTCCTTCTTTATGGCTGCATAATATTCCACTGTGTATATGCACCATATTTTAAAAATCCAGTCCAATTTTGATGGGCAGCATGGTTGGTTCTATGTTTTTGGTATTGTGAATAGAGTTGCAACAAACATGCATGGATGCACTCATTTTTTCAACAAATATTGACTTAAGTGCCAATTCTATGCCAGGTGGGAAACAAGATGATGAAGATACAGTTTGGAACAAAACAATTACCTTATTGGTACGGAGGCTAAATTATAATGACTGCATGTCTTAAGGAAATAGATATGACTATTAAGGACAAAAAGATGGATGCTTTTAAAAAGGTGAATAAAACAGGGCAATAAGCCGGGCTCGGTGGCTTAGCCTGTAATCCCATGTCTTGGGAGGCTGAGATGAGTGGATTGCCTGAGCCTGTGGGTTCGAGACCCGCCTGGGCAACTTGGTGAGACCTCATCTCTACAATAAATCAAAAAATTAGCTGGACGTGGTAGCGCACGCCTGTAGTTTCAGCTACTTGGAAGGCTGAGGCGGAAGGATCACCGGAGCCCAGCAGGTCAAGGCTGCGGTGGCCGGGAGCGGTCACTGCACTCCAGTCTGGGCGACAGAGTGAGACTCCAACTCAAAAACAAAAACAAACAAGCAAACAAACAAAAAGAACAGGGTAATAATCCATGTAGAGTGATGAACTGAAATTAGATTACCAGGAAATCTTGCAAGTATTAGTGGGAGGCAAAGTGTAGCTTTGGAGGAAATGACGAGGTTCACATAAGATATAAGCAGAACATAAACTCAGACAAAGTCAAAGTCAAGTTCTTCTAAGTCCTACCCACAACATATTTGAAGAATATGTAGAAGTAGGTAAGAACT